TCATCCATATCGGATTTTGTGAGGCACCATATGTCGAACCGTTCCAAATAATCCTCTACGTCACGCGCAGTTGAATTAACATCTAATAGTTCCATTTCGGCAGGCATGATGAACCGTTCCAATCGCGACGCCAAAATGTGAGAATTAAGTTTCGTACGTATATCGGTACAACCCGACAAGCTAGAAATCCATAATTCAGCGAAGCGTAACAACCAGCACTTATGTATTCGAGTTGGCGGATATGTACAGCATATGGAATACTAAAACAAGAGTATAATGAATAGAGCAACGAATAGAGTATCAGTCATGTTCATCACAATTTAGTACCCGATAATAAAGAGGGTCAAGTGGACCAGACTCACCAAAATTGTTCTGTTTGAAATAGTTCGTCCTTGGCCCAGATCAGTTAATACATAATCATATATGTTGTCCAGGGGCCTACTTTTGAACAGTTCTCGCACATAATAAAATTCGAAGATACTCTAAAAATTTTTGATACCAGAGTCACCACATATGCGTGATGAGAATCAGAAGAGCAGGTCGAAGCACGTGACCACGTCTGTATTTTGTGTAGTCGTAAAAAAGCGCGTTTTTGTAGTTTTTTGTAGCCGAACAAAAACGTTTTCGCTATCGCCAAAATACGTAGTGTTATAATGGATAAAAGACCTTAAACCCACAGACATTAGATAGTACTAGTGAATCTTCCATAATCGTATCAGTGACGAAGTTGAAGAGGAAATCTGAAGGAGACAGCCCTTTCTGACACCACTTCGTTTGGTGAACTCAGAAGAGAGCTTTCATTGGGACTTCACGTTTTCGCGAAATTTGGGGTGCGTTGCCTTAAGAAGGGTCAAGAATTTATCGCACCTGTATTCCATGGACAATACCATCGTGTCCGATCCACAGTGTCAAGGGCAGATTTCAAATCAATGCAAACTTTTTGGTGCTGGTACTAGTCTTGCTATTTTAAAATCTGGTAGAGGGTGAAGATATGATCGATTCTTCCTTCTGAAGGACATAACCCGGCTTGGTTTTTGCGAATCTGGGTCTCCCTGCGTTAAGTCTGACTTTAACGCACCAGAGAGCACGTTTGCTGCCACAACTGATGCCATGGTGGTTTTTAGACGGTGTCCGCATACCGCGTTTGAAGATGAAGATAACTTCTGATATGAACCATTCTGCAGCCACCTCTTTTTCACTCCATACCGCACCAATAAGCTTTGTTATGTGGGTCCCGAGAGATTATCTGCTTTCTTTGAGGAGGGCTGGATGCGGGCCTTCCGGTCCTTGCGCCTTCTCATGTTTCGGTACGGATATTTTGTAATTTCTTTCTTCCACTGACGGGCTATCTAAATTTGCACTCCATTCGTCTGCATGCTTTATCTCCACAGCATGTGTTGCAGCAGGCCAGCTGAAATGTTCTTCTAAGTGATCGACCCAACTTTCCAGCCAACATTTCTGCGAAGGAATTAATGGGCCATCTTTTTCACTTATCGTCTTGCTGAACCTTGCTTTCCTACAGTAATCCTATCAATGGATATAAGACACGGCTTTTTCCCGTAGAAAAGCCTTCTCCATCTCTCGAGCTCCCGATGCCCACCATAGCCCTTGGCCTTTCCTTAGACTCTTTACTATTTGACGTGCGCCGTCTTACTCGTTGCCTGCTGGTATGACTTTCCTGGCATCAGTCACGGATGGCGATCTTGATGACATCTAGCGGTATTGTGGTCGAATCGGAAAAGTAGGACAGACACCAATGAATTCCGCTAACATAGCTTCTTCCATATTTTGCCACGCATTATCCACATGCTCACTGCCACCACAGCATTCGTTTACTGTGGAGAGTTTTTGCGCTAGCCCCGATAGACTGTTGAGGTATGATAGTTCTTCGAAGATAGTGGATTGGCATGTTTTCTGCCTAAGGGAAACGAAATATCAGGCGTGCACGCATCATGGCGTGATCGGAATCAAATGATGTGTCACAGAAGGAACGACAGTCTCAGATTGTGCATCTATACCGGTAGCTGATTGCTACGTGGTCCAACTTGGTCTATGGTTGATTTGCAGTTGGTGGCCGTCAGGTTACGCGAGGCGAACGTTTATGTTTGAAGAAACAGTTCATGATAAGCACACAATCAGGTGGTCCCTCTCTGTTGTCTGTGCGGTGATCATTGACTCCAAATCGATCATGCAAATGTGACTCCAAAGGGCTCAGACGACCAACTTGTGCACTTCAATTGCCCGTAAGGTTCATGATGTTACTGTCTCTTGTTTAAAGAATGATCCTGGATAACTCTCGACAGAAAGTACCCTTTCCAGTATTAAGACTGCAGCCCACTGGGGCATGAACCAATGCTACAAATAGACATCGCGTTTTATGTTAGAGGGCACTGAGCTTCATTGAGCTGGATAAGCGGACGGCGCAAAAACGATCATTTACTGGGATCTAGTCTAGCAAAGCGTATTCAACTCAGGAGGTGAGTGCAACTTTAAAGCCATATATTCCATGAGCCATTGCCTCTGGATCACAGAATACACGGAGTGCGAAAGAGCTGATTTCGTCTTTGGTGTTTTGATGTGTATAACCACGGCCGTTTTTTGTGTGCGTTTTTGGAGTAACAGCATACATCGATTTTAAGGAAGGAAGTAAGGATTGCTCGATCACAATTTTACATAGAGTACGGACGTTGAAAGATTCAATGTAGAAAGAATATCGTGGATTTAGGAAAGTATTATTTTAGTTGCTCCTAATAGGTAGTGCAATGCATAAGGCTCATCGTTCAGACAGACGATAGTCAAATGAAGTAGCGACGGTTGCTTGTGTGGTGGAAAGGGTTTGGGAAGGGACATCGGTGGATACGAAACTGTGCAAGCAAATGACGCTTCTTGATTGTCCAAGCCTAGGAAGGGAAAATAGCTTACCGTTTTACACTTTTACCTTAGAGGCCAGTACCGCTTTAGCGACAGACCGCCTGGTAGTACGATTAATCGTTGTACAAGGTCTCGCTGTTCTTGGTTTGAATGCTCCCTTATGTGCTTCCTAGCATTCTTGTACCCTATAAAATAAAGTTTCAGCCAGTGTATCTCGCGAGATAATTGCAGTACTTAAGCTCGACTACCACGTAAAGATGGGCAATGGGTATCTTTAGGTCGGGCTTCCTTCGAGATGGAATAATAGGCAAAGATGCTTAAGGTATTTGGTTGGTGGACTCAGGCTAATCGGAACAATTTAAGAGTTTTCACTGCAACTCTCATAATCTCTACGTACAAAACCCGAAAATTCAACTTCACGTAACTTCTCTGACGTAGCGCATGTGTAGAAAGTTTTCCCACCTCAAACTTTTGTTCTGGACATCAGGGTCCCCCAAAAAGAGCGACGTGCCCCAGGATGAGAACAAATACAGTGAGAAGACGAAAGTTTGCTTTCAGCCATGCCTTTCGTCCACTTTGTGCGCACTTGAGTCTGTCTCTCAGGAGCAACAAGGAGGTGCGTGAGATACTTCAACGTGCTCTTCTTAACTAACTAATCAATAGCACGTATGACTGCCTTTGCATACCAGGCGTCGAAACAATTGGCATCTGGCTGACAAGGTGTCTTCGCCTTAGTACATTTTTAAAGTGCGCCTGTTGAAATTCTCTCACTCTGTTTTACATGAATCATGGAATGTGTACACTGATGTTTCTGGGAAAGTGAAACACATTAGTAGGTTTTGCCGGCTCTGGCCTCAAATTCACCACGAGACTCAAGAATTATCATATCCCCATTCGTTAAATGAGAGTAAAGGCTTATCCAAGCAAGCATTTCGAAAACCATGTCAAGCATATACAACAACGAGTGTCTCACGTGTGTACAGTTGCATCATAAATTTGTGAAATAAACATGAAACCAGAAAGACCTAACAATTTTGATTATAGGTTATATGGCTTAGGTAGCTGATATATTGGAGTGGCTCCAGCGTTGTTACATTTTTAGTGAATACTAATTGCAGTTCACCCAAAAATTGCAATGTAATGTGCTAACTTATATGTAAATTCAAGTGAAACAAAAGGCATGTTGAGTTAGTCATGCAAAGAGGCACTGAGAGACATACCTACCAAGAATGTTTTTTTGAATATTTTATGGTGTTTCAGCAAGCGCTGGCGTGGAACGTGCGTGAATATTCGCAGAGTGACAAAACACCATGGCTTGCGGGAGCAGTTAGAAGCACGCTTACGGACTGTATTTGATAACAGTATCGTGCGAGAGCTCAAGGTGATCAGGTGAGTGCAATTTTAATATAAGTGGACTTTTCTGCAGATGATATAGGGTTGCTTATGGGTCGTACGAAAGAGTTGTTGGGCCTTGCTGTCGTACTGATTTGGAAGCCGGAGATAGTTTAACAGCCCGATGGCAAACAGGGGAATAGAATTGTCTGAACAGAGTCTTAAATGTTCTAGGGTAGTCATATAAACTGTTGACTTGCAATAAGTACTGTCCATATTAATTTTGACGTTCGAGTGAGGGCAGCATTGAGTTGCATTTTTGTCCTATGTTGTTCACGAGCATAGGCAAATGTGCAAAAAATCCTTCTTTTTAAGAACTTGTTTGTTATTCCAATCGTCTTTAACTTATCACTGGGACCACCTACTTGACGATGAGAAACCAAAGCTGATGCGTTAGTTTAATATTATCAGTTCCGGAGTTTCTAACTGCAGTGCAAATCTTTATCAGTTTCACCTGTTAGTCTTCTGTTACACAGTACCCGTAATTAGGTAAATATCCCATATAAGACACTCAGCAAGTTGCAGCCGGATCGTACGTGGCAGCACCAAACTGTTGAGCGCCACGTTTGTATACCACACAGTAACTTGACTTTGTACGAACGAACGGATTTATATGATTCGGTGTTTCCCCTTTGTCATTAACACATCAAATCAACCAGTACAACCAGAGTCTCTTCGTGATCAGCTGGTCTTTAAACATGCCATCGATGTCTTCCTTGTCTTAACAACTTACCTAAAAATGTAGTGTTCACATGATAATCCACCACCGACAAACTCCTGTGTAGCTAATGTATAATAGCTATTTAGCAGCAGTCAAACTGACCGTTTTATTTCATATTCACCTGTGTATCATAGGGTGGATGGTGCTGAAGTTCTACAGTCTTCTTTACAGGTTTTCCTCCAAGCTGATTTATAAGACCAAGCCGTTGTAACGTCTTAAGTCTTAAGTAAGTGCTGAAATCCAGATGTTTTTGGCTGCCAGTGACTTCAACTATATCTGACCGCGGTGTATCTATACCTGATGCGTTTTCCGGTCGCTTTGTTACAACCTCGCTAATATCAAATACAGCGATTCATGGTTCGGGGGCACCACTGTGAGATGCCTCAAGTATACGTTAGAGTAACTTACTGCGCCCGTATATTGAACCACGTCATATCATGAATTCATATACGACTTATTTTTTAGACTAAACCTGACTATTTCATCGCTTGAAGGAGTGCACATGAGACAACACTGTGACCCCGAACGTCTACACGTGAGCTTACACCGTGTGCCTACATGACTGGAGATTTTCACAGCAATCTATAACCAAAAATGTCTTCCATTCCACTGTGAACCAAGTGTTCGCGGATCAGATTAGAGGAGTGTTATTTTCAGCTTTTTGACGGTAACTCGACCAGTTCACCGAAACACGCTCACTCGTCCTCCTCCTCTTCAAAGACGAAAAAAGTTTCACTGTCTTCACGATGTCAAAAGGACTTTGAGATGTGTCTTCATCTACCCGTCTTTTAAGATTGAATTACTTGTAAAATGATACTGAACTGCGACGATTGTGTGTGCTAACTTAGTATTTGGAGGAGAGCTGGGAACGCTTGATGTAAGTTTGTGCTAACAAGGACTAAAGAACTGGACCTCTGTTGGCACCATAGAATCATTAGGTAAATATACCTAAATGTGTGTACGGGAATGAACTGGCCAGTAGAGATAAAATTAGGCTTGAATTGAAAAAAACACTGATTTCAAACCTACTTCCTTCATACAGTCAGCGGGGTGCAAGAGCGTGATCAATACGACTCAGGATTGCTTCACACAGCTGCTAAGCAAATATACATTCAAGATAGCTGTGTGCAAGACGAGCATAAGTAAACGATCGTAAATAATCTGCAACAAATATGGTGTACTGACTCGTCAAAGTTGCTGTCCGTTTAATTCATTACTTTAGACAACTTGTTTTGTCTTTAGGCTTCAAGCCATGTAATTTCAGAAACGCTATTTAAGTAGCCAGGCAACGTAATTCGCAGTTCGTCAAATTCGGTCGTATAAATCGTTATTTAAAACAACCCACTTCGTTCTTCAATTTGGGTGATAAGCAGATATATACTCATTGGTTTTTTGTTAACTGTTATTGGCTGTCTCCTATGTCATGGGACAAGTGTGGCGAGGGACAATTAGCCAATCGAATATATAAGCAAGTATGCGAATACAGTTAAATTTTCACCTCAGTTAATTTTGCCGGTTCGGTGTGTCTGGCCTTTGGACTACGTTTATTGAGAACAGTTACTTGGTGGCCATTACGGAGCCTATAGAACATCAACTTCCTAGAAGACGTTTTACTGTGAAATGGTGTAGCACTGTTAATTTCGTTATTTCTACCCATTTTTACACTGATGCATCAGATCCCAGCCCGTTTACCACACTGGCGTGTGCATTGTGCCTATGAGTTTTGTCCACCTGGAACTAACAATTTTGGTTACCGCGCTTTGGCATAGTGATTTTGCAATCGTATTAGAGGAAATAAAACCGAGTATCGTTGATTGTTAAGTATTTCAACTGATACGTCCACTTGTCGGATACAGCAGTCCAGCCTTATCACGCACTGCTTGAGGGGCCAAACGAGCGATAAGTTGACCACAATTTACTTTAACCACCTGAGCACCTATATCCACCTATGTTAAGATGGTATCGGCCTCACATTAGCATTAGTATGTTATCACTGCTAATATATGTGACTTTTGCTGCAAACTTCTACGTCACTTTAACTAACCTGTTTACAAAGCATAGCTCTTTTAGAATCAGTATACTAGCAACTGTTTAACTGATTCAAAGATTTCTCTTCTACTCATCAGTGGAGCATGGTAGCGTTAATCAGTGCAATTTAGCCAATTCGAACGGGATTGTCGGAAACCCACCCGAAGTGTGAGGATTTCCGCCGTTTATTATTGCGCTAACAGAACAGTATTCATGGCCGTCGTTATACGCCAGGGCTGGAGGACAGCTTCATTCTTGAAGCCGCTTTGGCTGTTTTCAAACTGTTGTAGGTGATTTCAGTTGACTAATTTTGCACCGCCCTTGATGAGCTTTAGGTCATTCCAAACCTCTAAGTCTCGCGTGCAAGCTGCGCCACATGTGCCACATGCACCAAGATTTTTGTACTACGCAATTAAGTACAAACTGACAAGTGACACACCAACAAGGTGTCGCGTGTGTACAAATGAATACAGTCAATCTGGAACAGAAGCGTACATTTAGAAGACTCTATGGACCATCACCCTCTTCTAAGATAATCACTGGGAGCGCTGCCACTTACATGGTTCTGGAAAATTAACCACAACCCGTCCTCAACCTTACCTTATCTAATGAGCGACGCGGATCTCCTTCGGAAATATATTAAGCATTGAAATGGCCCTTGTCAAGTGTATAATAGCCGCCCACCTCCGCTACGATTTGGGCATGGAGGGGTACTGCATGAAGTAGGGTTTTATATTGTGTCCGCAAACACGCAATGGGGTAGCAAGTGGTTGGAATCCAACTGTCTCATATGTTACTAGTCGCCGTTCATGTGTGTGCGATTCCCATTTTTATCTTGGGCATTTGAAATGCGACCAAGTGACACTGTTTGTCCGCAAACAGATTAAACATACCTTAAGTGTACAGCTGCCATCCATCAGCACCAAATATATGAAACAGTCAAGTGTCAGGGTTGGTCCCAAAACTTACAGACAAAACTACAAAATGGAGCATAATTTGTTTCCGGACGAAAACGTCCTACAGACACAACGGTAGGCCTATCATGATGAGGCGTCCAAATCATGGGTGGTGGTATCACAGTTAGTAGACTAATATCAGATGAAGACATCCCAATCCCATATTCAATTATAGTCGTGTTTAACAGTGACCTAATAAGTACTGTGGGACATTAAAAATGGCCAGTGAAACATCTTTGAGTAAACTAAGCGGGGGTCAATGAAGTATGCCGGCAAAATGTTGTTTGCTAGAATGATATGCACGGGGTCATTCGGCGGTCTCCAGAAGTGTGTTTATAGAGTTGTTCTCCAGTGCAAGGTAGACATATTCAAAGAGCACAAAGTTACTGCTTATCTGGTGCTGCTTGCACAGGTGGATGATCATGTATGACCTCTGCTAGCCTATTTGAAGCTTATAAGTAAGGTGGTCAAAAGTAGCCACGGTACTTTTAGCTCTTTTCGAAGGCTGACCTTTCCAATGACGTCCAGAAATATTCAACGTGGGATCGCTTCTACAAGGCTGTTGTAATGTTCATAAATGACGCAGTGAATTTCTAAGAGGATGTGGAAACAAAAGTTCAATTCCCATAATACATTAAAACCTACATGTCTTTTCAGTTGCAAACCAGAATGGGCCGCAGTGTTACCTTCGGTGTCTTTTTAACTGTGTGGGGTCGGTCCGTATTTAAAAAGAATGCGCGAGTGCATTCGGGTTTTTGCAATTCTGGGATTGAGAAACCCACGAGCTTCAAGATAACAGTGCGTTAACTCGACAACTCGAAACTTTTTGCTTGTTTCGACAGTCGCCTTCAGCATCCCCACATCCTCAATCTACTGGCCGTCATGCTGTTGGACCCGGTGACAAGCTTGGAACTCGTGGATCCAACCCAACTGGCTCTGGTCTATGAGCGACCTTCTTTAGGTTCGCTGCACTATTGGACTCAAGTAAAGGTAACAGAAACTAGCTTAATATCTTTTTTGGCATTTAATTTCCGTTTCAACTTATAACTTTTATGAAGAATCAGGCAGTAGGCCAACCTTGGATATGGAGATATGGGACACATGACATCATCGCTATAAGTAAACGTTGTATCCAGGCTGTGGTGCATCAGTTCGGTGGCAGCAGTGATCACTGTAAATTCTCATGAAAAACTATTCACAGTCACTCGAAATAAATAAACTGGTGAGGGAGTAACAGTTGGGAAGTTGTGTGAAGCCTAGAACAAGCGCACAACTTTGGACTTCAAACGTTTTGTTTCTACCTCACCATCATGTGAATCGGCAATAGTGCAGGGTACGCTCCCTTGCTTGTGGGTAAACTAAATGAAAATGTGGTGACCTTGAAGTTTTACCAGAAGGATGTGTTTCTTGGAGAAGCATCCCATTAAGAGCGTAGACCCTGCGGAATCGAAAAATAGTTCACCAGTGGTGAGGTGATCTATGATTATAAAGGCACTATTGGTGAATGGCAGTATTGAATCAATCCAACGCATCGGGTGCAATGTACTAAAATTATATCTGAGACCTTGCACACAGAGAAGAAAATGACTACAGTGTAATATTCGGGCATTTCATCGTGGTCCATTTTATACTAGAGGTTGGAACCACGGCTGCGTATGGGATTTATTATACCTGACAGTGAGGACCAAGTCAGTGCTGCCTTTGGAGTAAAATAAACCAACTGGTAACGAACAAACTAACTGAGAAAACAATTGGATACACAACACAGCGATGCGTCACGTGCAACAAAATGTAAGTTTTCATGTAGGGGTGTGGGTCATGCTGACAACTACAATGCTTACTACTGATCCAAACCAGCCCGATCTCATTTGGAGCGATCAACTTTGTACTTCATTTCTTACAGGTAATTTTGCTATACCTGTTCAAATGCAGCACAGGTCCAAACAAATGCAGACAGTTTAATTTCCAATAAGTCAAGGAAAAATATCTGTCAACCATAGACAAATTCGTCTAGTCTAGAAACCCCAGGAAAAACTTCTAAGAGTGCCAACCAATCATAATGGAGAGAACATTTTTGAGTGGTTCCATTGAGTCTCGGACGAGTACACCTGAGGTTAGAATTTGGTAATGACTACTTTTTAGTCATCTCTGGACTGACTTGTCCCCAAAATTCTTGTTCTTCCTGAAGTCAGTTGTGGTTGGATGTGAACAGGCGCTGATTCCTGCAAGTTTTTCAAAATCGACTGTTTGGTTTTCCAAATAATCTCGTATTGTTTCTGAAAAAATATCCGTTATCAGACCGTCCGCTGCGTACAAGCTGCTACTGCCGCTGCCACTGTTGTAGGACTTCAAGCAGTTTGAGGTTAATAATCTGTGTCAGAATTGCTCAAACTCGCTTTGTGGGAAGGGAAACAATGCGTCCTGACTTATATAATCTGATTTTAGTAGCATGTAAACTAAAACTGACGAGTTATAAGATTGAAATTTGGGAAAAATCACTCAGTCACTCATTTCAGTAGTCGAATCAGTGACTTGACTTGCATGCTGCATATTTATCGATACGTCATGAGGATATACTCAGCAGCGTTCAAATGGTGTGAGTAATGTTGACCATCACACTCTTCACCTTCCGTTGTTGTTTATGATTGTTGTTGTGTTGTCTGTATTCATGTTCAACCGATCTGTAGAGGCGCCTCGCCTTCTTGATTAGGTTGATGCACCCTATAGTGCACTATTAGATTAGGGGCCCACCAATTTGAGTCTTCCATATACGCTCTCATTCGGGCAACCTAAAGACAAGCATAGACTACAAGAGCGACATTCTTCATTAATCTGGTCTTTCTGCTTCAAGTAGGCTGCCAGTATTTATCACGCGATGTGTCCAGTGAATCTGCTCAAGATCGCGACAGGCATCCTTAGTAACTTGATAACACTTTTGCCCTGGGCAAGGTGTTTTTCACATGTCTGACTTGTCAGGTGTGTTAAGTAAGACTTCGCAATGGGTTAAACTTACAAGGCTTGAAGCAATTTTCCGGATGCTACCTGCTTGATCGTATGCTGTTGGTGACTGATTTGTGTCGAGATTTCATGATCTTACATGAAACTTGTCAGGAAAACCAAAGTTTACGTAAAACACACACCAGGAGAAAATCGGTGATAGGGGTAATATCTGGAGAAGTTCCGCGTTGAAATCGCTTTGGGGATGTGGATCATATGTGCATATTTTTTGCCGTTAGATACTTCTAGCTAACATTCTTATCCTCTAATTGCGCCATGAACTTCTTGGTATTTAAAATTCAAAGTCCAAGCGCGACAAGTTACACGTGTGCTGTGTCATCGATTGACACGCTACCCAGTTCATGGACCTGATTTTGAAAGCAGAGATTCACATCGTTAACTGTCGCTCGTCATTTGGTTGAGGCAGCATCCGTGTTCTGGCATGTACCGAACACCTGTTTTATTTCAGGATGTGCTCAGCGACCCCAATACGTGATAAGGGAGTTTATGTCTCTCAATGAGACTGTGGCCTGTTAAACCGATTTTGGGGAGTTGCTAGATGAAAAACAGGTATCATGATGTGAGAAATTAACGTAATGTAAAAGGTAGCCATTACAACAATTATCGCTCATTTTTAGAGCGTGGTCCAAAACATAAGAATCGACAGCGACTGGTGTCAGAAGATATACAAGAAAAGGTCAGAATGGGGGAACTTCCCAGAAGGAAGTTGGCAAAATGATCCCAAACAAGGTTTGATAGAGACCAGCAACTGAAGAAGCTACAGGCAGAACTCGATGCTGTCCAACTCGATGCACAGTCGAGACTTCCCTATTCGGCATACAGGTCGCGCGAGCAAGAAAAAACATCAGATTCATATCTGGCTTGTAAAAGTATCGTAGGTACTTGGTCCGTAATGCGATCAAACACAGGTCACTGGCTGTTGCATTAGGAAGCGCCAGCCCAGCAGAAGCTTACGTGAGCTGAGAAAACAGCTATTTTCGAACCAGAAATCAATCATCAAACTAGAGAGTATAACAAGGGAACATTCGTCAGCACCATACTTCTGCTTTTTCTCATTCCGCACAGACATTTTACACCCATCTGAGAGTAGGTCTATTACCGTGTACCAACGATTCCGAACGGGATCTTTACTTGTTCGCATTTTTCTCCGACACTTCTGCGGGTCTGTATTCGTACAGTCGGATAGGAGTAATAATAAACGTTACACATGTGTTTTGCGGTTTGCGTTTCGGTTGCTTTATACAGCCCCAGATTCCTACTAGACATGGAGTATGTCCATTGGCTCAGCAAAACACGTACTTCACATTAAGTACCAAAGCCTGCTGTCTTTCCTCACCGCACTTTATTAGCGTGGGAAAGTTATGAATGGCGAAGTGAAGAGAAAGCAAAATTTAGCACAGACTGCTCGAAATAAGTTGGCTCATAATACTAGCAACCACACAGAGCATCCGCCGCTTGAAAATATGCAGGCCATTCAGAATGTGACACATCTGTTTTCCACCTCTTTTGTGTCGTACTGGATATCGAGGGTGAACATGGAAATATCGAGACTATAAGTGCCTCATTATCAAGATGCTGGAATTCACTGCGCTTAAGGATTGTTGTTTAGACTTAGCTAGTGCTTGAGGGATTTGTCAAATTTACGTTCGACCGAATCTCGTTTGAACAGTCCCCATTCCCTAGCCGAATTGTTCTGATGAATTCACATCAAATGTGGCGATTAATGGACTCGACTTTCGATCTTATTAGACCTCATCACCAGTGCATATCCTTAAAAAAATCGTTCATCTGTAGCACCCTTTTTGAGCTTAGCTGCCATGCCACCCGAATGTTGCACGAGGGCTAGGATACTGCCAGGTTGCCCAAGCCTAGACAGGGGAAGTCGAGAGGCAGAGGTCGGGTTCGAACCACCGACTTTCCGGTCAGTAAATTCGTGCTCTACCCACTTGGGTCATCTCGCTCCCCTTCACTCACAGTACGAAATGTTTATTTAAAAAAAATGACCCACCGCACATCCTTGACCCTGTCGGTTAATGAACCCCAGGTATGTAACACGTAGGGTGAGTGTGTTACCATCACTCAATCAGCGCAGGCTGGGAGAACCTGAATTATTACGTCCGGACTGGCGAACATGTGTATGTTTGAGCTATGCGAGTGGCTTGTCTGACACCTTGAACGGCGACCCAGTAGCTGTCCTAGTTGTGTTGACGGAGTGATATGCCGGGTCATGATTGGGACTGTGTAAATAAGAGTGATGTGAATATGAGTTCTACGATTTTCACAACCACCTACATCTAGTCGCAAACTGTTTGGGAGGTTCCATGTGTTCCAGCTACCTGAGTTGAACGTCCCGACAGGCGGCTCAGTTCACCGCTGAACATTAATGCCCAATGTTTTTGTACGATTAACAGTACCGATAAGCTAGTGGGTCCAGTATGCTAACAATTTTGGTGCCTAATCGGAACTAAGAGCCTTGGATTTGAAAGTTCTCTCTGTCACTTAGTTCAAAGTACGTAATGCACCCAACTGTCAGGTCTGTTTTATCTGAGTCTCTAAGCTTTGTTCCGCGAAATCACCTACGGAGCATGGAGATTCTCTTATTATATTCTCTTATTATATAGCTGCATTTCCTGAAGCCAACGGGTTCCAGGGCGAACACTTAACTTTAACGCGGTGTCTAAAGCATAGATATATATGCAGAAATCCGTGATAATTTGCTCTCAACTGATAGCATGTCTTTGTCAATGTTTTACACTCCCTTTTCAGCTTGAGGACGTTCCCGTCTTATCTGCCTTCACAATATGCCGGCAAGTCGCCGAGGCACTCATGTTCCTCCACTCGTTTGGTATTGTACACTGTAACGTAACACCGTATGCTATTCACCTGTTCTCTTTGGACAGCGCCAAGCTGGGAAATTTTGAATATGCTGTCGAACCAAGGTGTGTCTAGTGATCTGCAGACTTGTTATGTGCCAATCCATTATCGATTATGCAATTCAAATCAGGCGTCGCATACTGAATGAGGGGAAATTTTATGAATTTTCCGGTATTTATGGCCGGATGGTATGCTGGAAGGTCAAAGATAAGTTGATAAAGTATTCTGCCTTAAAAGTATTTTAACACAAGTTTGATGTCGTGTGCATACTTTCGTAAAGGTATACGAGGGTGATGTCATTCTTGTTACAGGCTCTCCTTACATGTAATGTAGGCATGGTAATCGGTTACACGGCCTCGTTTCTGATCGAGGCAACCACAAAGATTGCGAGCTTGGTAAAATCTGGCGTTCGTGTTTGCACGTAATCCACCGCGGACTCCACAAATCTCTTTTCACACAAACATTTTGCAAGAAATTCATCCGGTTTTAAACACAGGTTTTAAATCAAACGTGTCACTAGCCAAGCCCAGGCACTAAGGTAATAGAAAGTGGTTATCCGACTGGTGGTCACATTGCTATGAATGCCAAAGTCAGTGGATTGCTATCTTGAACTTCACCGGACGACTGCAGTCAGGCAGTCTCATTCATAAACGGAGGTAAAACTGCAAAGCAAACGATCAAGTAAAGAAGGCTTCCAAAGAATTAAACCCAGAAATCTATTTGAGAAAATATCTTGAGATGAATATCCTTGTAATGTACTACTCATGAGGTTGATGAAAATCCGTCGACAGCCCACGACGGGTTTCGCCCTTTTTGGGGCTCATCGGGTAGGCGCAGTCCCCCGGTTTCCGTCAACCTTATGTTCTACTTGAAACCAAATTACAGCTAGGTTCCAGATGAGTCTCTCGGAAAACCAAATTAGTTTGCAAATGAGTCTATATTCGCTAATCTTGGGATGAAGTTTACAACCCAATCAATTAGTCCGCTAGTCAAATAAATGTGGCTTCCCGGAAGGAGCAGATTCTTCTGGGACTAGGTTTTCTGGAATTACATGTTGGTTTCTTCCCGCGATCACGATATTTCATCATTGACCTTTCCTACCAAACGTGAAACCTGTAGCCAGTACCATTCTGGCTTTTCGATAGCATTGCTTATGGAATAGGCTTCGTGGTCTGTTATTTCAAAATCACACTCTATAAACTTTTTATTTGTCCGATTGCGGTTGTTATCTCCTCCTATGTCTGCAATGATGTCCAAAGTCTATTTATCCTTCATTCACATGCTGTTCTGGTAGACGTATATGATTATTTGAAACAGCTTTCACACATATCACACCACATCATATCGATTTCTCACCATCTGCCACTTCAACTTTCAAAATCCTTCAAGCGAATTGACTACCTCGGATAGACTTGAACCACTCTCTACCTCTTTGGGACCATCTTCATCACACATGTCGGGTACCGCCAGTCCTACGCCTCCAACAAAGACAGATGAATGCACTCCTTACTTCATGTTGTACGAGTGTGCGCTACATCTTCCTGCCAGTCATCTGGCCAACTGGCTTCCTCCAGAATTGTTCCCCATTAATGCATCTCAACTTGATAAGAGCCAAGGTAGCACGTGTCTACGAGGGCCAGTCACTATGAAGAGACCCTGCTTTGCATCTGATGTGTACAGCCTAGCCAAAGTTCTTGAGTCCCTCATTCCGCATTTGGCTCACGGTTCCCCAGATGTTTCCCTAGAATATGCAGGTTATGTGGCCCCTATTACGAATGTTCGAATGGTACTTGCAGCAGCCCTACAACCTCGCCCAGAGGAGCGACTTCCCTTAAAGCAATTTCACCGGTTGCTCATCCATCTGTTCTGGGTAAGTTCCGCCGAGTGTCTTTGAAACCAATTCAAGCCTGTTTGTTTGCGTCGTCGATACAGAACGATCACAGTTAGGTGTTTTCCTTATTGCGCTACTTTTTAGGCCTGGCTATAAGTTCTTATGCACTCAAGCCCAACTCCAACACATGGACTGCTAACTTCTCTCTGCGCCACAAACGAACTCTCATTCACTCAGGCATAAGGGACAAAAACCATGAGCATGTTTTTGTGACTTGTTCTGTGGCTAGGCTCAAAAATAGTTCAACAGATTTTCCCTCATCCTTACATTAATCTGAATTGAAACAGGTCTGGATGATTGGTATAGGGTGTTAAACAGTCCAGAAAAACCTGTAAAGCCTAGGAAGCATCTGAAATCAGTAGCGATTCTACAGAGTAGGATTACAGCCCTGAAATGGTGACCATCTATTTAAATTTCTTTGGATTCCCGCAACGGTCTGCCGCACTTAACACAACAATACAAACTGCCCTATTTTCATTATTTCCGATCACCATCAAAACATTCTAGTCTTAATTTATTTAGCCAGTTTCTCTTCGTGGGGGAAACCGGTCTTCGGCTATCGGTCAGCTGTATATAAGGCTAGGGCAAACAATATACTGTCGACAGCGTGCATCTAGAGTACGCTTCGAGTTGGTAGATAAGCCGCTTGATTGTCAACCTAGTGATAATTGAAAGGTTTGAGGTCGAAAAAGCTATACCGGATCATTCGAACCCCCCAACAACTTCAAAAACAGTGACTCTTTTTGTTCCTATCGGTCACTACTGGGTTGCTAGTGTTTGTCAAAGAAATCATGTTATGTCCTCAGAAGCAAACATAATTTTTTTTACTCAAAACACAAACCCACGTAATATGTGGGTAAGGGAGGACTAAGACGTCCAAAGCTGAAGACCACTATAGAAAGCTGAAGTGAAAGCATGGAGTTGTCCCTATGTGAACCACACACGTATCCTCCTGGTACAGATTAGGTGGTGGGTCTCCCGGCTACCGCCGTGTGATGAAGCTCCTGAAGAACTCGAAAACTGATTGGTGGTCGGAACTTTATCCCTAACTGTCCAGAATCCCCACAGCGCATTAGATGTCCACGTCAAAGATTTAGTTGTGCCTAGGCGTAAGTGAATGCTGTCTACTGCGCTGGCGCACATAGAACATTGGTCCACAGGTGTTAAACTAGCGACTTTGTAAGACTGAGTTTGCCCAGCTGAATTCCAGAAGAAAGACGTTCACTTAAACCTATGCTCTGGTCGATGTTTATAAAGAAGCGTCTTGAAAATCTCCCAGACAAAGCAAATGGAAACCCATCCACGTGAAATCCAGTAGTTGGGTAGTAGATGTTTCTACTGAAATTCGTCTCGACAGATTTTGAGAAGAACTTTTCTCACAGCTTGTGTAAGCTGTACTGGATTGAATGTTATTTAAACAAACACATGAAACCGGTCAATACGGTATCGAAAGGTCTTAAAAGTGTTTATTCTGACGTCTGATGCGAAGAACTCAGCCATACTTCGTTCGTGTTTTCTGGCTGTGCGATGAGATTACCTTATGGGGTTGGGGTTGAGGCTGGGGATGAAATTCTTCTACTTTCGAAGCTCAGTAACACTGCTTACTAATGATAGTCGCTAGTTCCATTCCTCTCGGCGAAAGGCCATTCACAATAAAGGTTTCACTGGTGTCATACATTCATCATTATAGGCCACAGCCCATCCACAGACCAAAGTATATCACTGAAAACGGTAAACTCAGTCATTTCATCCGTCAGAGATTTTTCCGGTCTTGAAAAAAATAATCTTAAAAAATACATTATCGTCTTATTTAGATTTACAGGGATTGTTGGCAAGAATCGGGGCCTATAAGGCTATGTAATCTAGATGCCATGTTGAACTAATGGTCCTAATAGGCACTTTTATTTCTCTTCCAGACAGAATACGATCAAATGAAGTCACCAAAGCCACAGGTCAATGCTACTACCATTCCATGTCCTTTGCGCTTATGTGATCATCATACCCCTGGGCACAGGGGTGTGGAACAAATCAGCTCAACCCTAACTACCCCCTTGGCTTCGACGGGAATGGGTACACTACAGGTGAGCTCTATCTTACCCTGTAAAAAAAACTTAGACGGAAAAAGAAACGGAGTCGTGTAGCTCTGGGGCGAGATGGTCCAAGTGCTTAGAGTACGAATTTACTGACCGGAAGGTCTGTGGTTCGAACCCGACCTCTGCCTCTCGACTTCCCCTGTGTGGGCTTGGGCAACCTGGCAGTATCCCAACCCTCGTGCAACCTCCGGGTGGCATGGTGGCTAGGCACCGAAAGGGTGCTACAGCTGAACGGTTTTACGGTCATGTAGTTCTAGGTGGCATTTTGTGAGGAATATCACTCTGTTTTTACGAGCGAGTATGCTACCGGAGGCGTCGGTGGTGAATCATCCTCATGCGACTACGTGCTATGGCTTGAGAAATTCCCAGGAACTGTTTGACGGTTTGGACTTTTAGTTTCTACCGAGTTCCCCTCCATCAGACGACGCCCTCTGTAGTGAAACTTCACCTAACGAGAAAATATGGCTGCCTAGCTCACTCACAATTGTCACGGTGCTCGTCCCTCCACTCGATCGAATCAGTTTAGCTTTTCCTGAATTCGAGCTGGAACGGAAATACTGCGCCAGCACTACTTTGGTTTCGAACAAATTGGTACCATTTCTAATCTTGAAAGTACGTCACTTCTGAATTTGTATTATATAAAGTTAATTGAGACTCTAGCGCGAGACTGAATCACCGAGGCGTTACGCTTGTTCGCTTTATGTCTGTAGTTTCTTGTGAAACTTACTCTGCGCCGTTCTTGTGACGTGTGTGACCCATCCCAGTAATGCGAAAAAATATGAAACTGCATTTTCAGTACCCTTCTCCCAAAGCTACTGGAGGCATGAAAGAACAAGGGAGCTTGGAACTCAAATGTTCACGGCAGATTACATTTAGGCGACGTCGACGTTTCCAGGTCGAACTCACAGAACACCCCGAACAGGGTTCTCCAGGCAGTGACACTTCGATGCTCCCCTCTGAAAATGTACCAGCAGCCTACCTCATGAGTCACCCTTCACCAGGTTCACCTTGGAAGTGCGGCACACTGCTCTCATCTGATACGAGCCCATCGTCCGGCTTTTACAAAACGGCGAAGACATTTACAGTGAAAAGGTTGGTTATATTGATTAATCAGCTGAATAGATCTCAACGGACATTCTTCACTTATTACTGATGGATTGTTGTCGATGATGGTTATGATGAATTGGTTTGATGCGTCATGATGAGGACTATCAACAGTTTCTCCGATGTCAACACATGGTGTTTTATTTTCTACCAGATATTTGCCGGTAACCACGCGGGGAAGGCCCTATTCTATTATTCAAGGTGAAGTTGCCTCTGTTCCCATACAGCTTTAGTCATGGCCCATTGACTCACCCTGTGCAGCTCGGTGTTAAACTTTGATCTGCTAATGTATGTTACGGTGAAAGGTGTGTATTTTCATTGGACCAACTGTCCCAGCTTTTCCTGGCCTTTGTTCGAGGCTTATTTGCACAAATCACAGTCTCGTGATAGTTGCCTGGTGATGGGAGTCAGTTATATAAACCACGGCCCTGACCATCCACGCAGTTCATCAAACTTTTTCCCCTATATCAATTGTTCAGGTTCATCAAGAGGTTTATCCTTCATCCAGTCCGTTGGCCTGGCATACGGTGGGTCACACCACTGCTCCTTATCACCTGTTATCAGGTGCAAGATAACGAAGCTACTGTGCCATAAGTACATAGTGAGTCTCATCGTCGGAGGTGCTTCCAATGCATAACATCCTAGGTACTTTCTGTATGTTATTTATATGATGGAAAGTCAAATCTGGCACCTGCGCTTGGGTATCACATGAAGGTTCTCCAGAGTCGCCCGTTCAAACTCAGCATAGTGGTCCTTCTAAACCTTAGCTCATTAGTACAGAGTTAACACCATCTGGTGTTGATTTGGTTATAAACGTTTAGGAGAGCACGAATCATTATTCACTTCTTTTCACTTCGCGTGAAACATAATTGAGTTTAGAGGGAAATAGTTATTTTTAATTGCATTTCTGTAAAGCTGGCTTAGCCAATTTAACCGAACTGGGGACTCTAGAGCTGTGTTAGCCTTGGGAGGAATCCGGATCAGTGCACCGTTCAAGAGTTTGACTCACAAACACAGTCCCCAGTCCGTGACTCACGAAAGCATGGCTAGCAGCATGACTAACTCGTATTTATCATCGTTTCGTCTCGTCCTCGGAAGTCGGATACTCCCGTCAATACAACGAAGTTCCCTAACTTCTTTCCTGCATGAACCTGAACTTGTGTAGAACAACAAATTTCCTACGCAGTATTTTAAAAGCAATCTGAAATGTCCATCATCTGAGGAACCGACTGATATCGGAAAGGGAGACCTCACAGTAAATGTCGTGGTCTTCCATCTGGGAAAAGGGCTTTTGCTGGGAGGGGGGCAATTTAAAGTCGAAACACGTGCAATGAGCCTGCGCTTGGTGATATGGATGATGTTATATCCCTTGTCAGTGTATTTCCGGTAGGCCACTCGTAGTTGGAAGCTGTCATGTTCAACTCAGCTGGAAGTTTGTGAGTTCGAGACACCTTGAGGATTCTAGTGATGTGCTCTGCTGTTTATCATTAGCCGTACATTGATTCTGTGTTAGGTGACTCAACTGCACAGAATGAAGTTTGATGTAACCTCAAACTACGATTGTAAGCCGCAGCTGCTAAGACTTGGGGTTATAATCCCAATTCTTCCGTGTACTGCTGTTGATATATATATATATATATATATATATATA